CCCCCCCCCCCCCCCCGATGGATGCCATGGACCACTTATTGGAACAAAAACTTTGCTAGCTCTAGCGAGAGGTGGGCAACATCAAAAAAGTGGTTAAGGGGAAGGCCCCTGACACCATGGGCTCCCTAGTCTAGCAAACTAAGTCGTCATTCACTCCCGAGGTCCTCCACTTTCCTCTCTTCTTGAAATTTTGTATGCCATCAATAGAGGCATTCGAAGGGACCAGAGATCCAGTGGACCATTTAAACTCCTATAAGAACCAGATGGAGCTTCAGGGTTACCCATACCCAATACATTGTCGGGCTTTCGCCATCACCCTCAAGGGATCAGTAATAACTTGGTTCAACAGGCTACAACNAGACCCAATACGTTGTCAGGCTTTCGCCATCACCCTCAAGGGATCAGTAATAACTTGGTTCAACAGGCTACAACCTGCATCAATCTCTTCCTTCTAGGAGCTATCTATACAATTTGTATCACATTTTATCGGAGCAAGGATGTACAGGAAACCGTCCTCCCATCTTCTAAGTGTCAAACAGGGACCCAATGAGTCTCTTCGAAGCTATGTACAACACTTCAACCAGGAGTGCTTGAAGGTGGAGAGTGTGGACGACAAGTTTGCACTAACCACTTTCATGTCTGGACTTGGGATACAGTCCAAAGACCTCCTCTTCTCAATAGCGAAAAATCCTCGAACTACCATGGCCGAGGTACTGACTAAAGCTGAAAAATACATTAACGACGAAGAAGCCCTCCATCTGAAAGGAGGCTTAACACCAAAGAAAGAAGACAAGAAAAAGAGGGATCATAGTCCTAGGTAGGGCTGTTAATCAAACTGAGCTATTTGAGCTTGGCTTGAGTTCAGCTCGTGTTTGGTTCATTTAGGCTCGGTTCATTTTCTAAATGAGTCCGAACTTAAACAATTTTGTAGGCTCATTTAAAAAATAAGCCCTACAAGTTTGGCTTAAACTCGACAAGCTCGGCTCGTTTATGTGCAAATACTCGGGCTCGGCTTAGGTTTGGCTCGTTAAGGCTTGACTCATTTTTTAAATGAGCTGAACTTGAATAATTTTTAAAGCTTGATTAAGAAACAAGCTTTTCAAGCTCGGCTCGAACTCA